CACTGCACCGTTTATCGGCAATTTAAGGCGTAAAGCCCGCCGATGCATGACTCACAGGTGCTCAAGTGATGGCGGTGTCTAGCTAAGCAGTTAAAAGAAGGGGGAAAAAAAACAAAAAAGTGGTAAAAAAGTGGTATAAAGATACCATATATATTTGCCCTGCTTTGCGGAAAGGCCCCTTTCTTGAATAAACACTTTCTATTAATGTTCTACTCTACTTTTTCTGACCTGGTTTGGATCAATAAGTCTTTATGATAATGCAATACACATTTTGGCAGTAATTAAGTGTTGTAGTTCCATATTTGCAGTGAAATTAATTGGAGTTTACTTGAGTATATAGTATGCGTATCCATTTTACACCAAAAAAAATATATTTGAATAGAATTAATAGATGCCTCCTCAAAAACAATTGACAACCTAATGAAACAATAATAATTATATGAGGCTTGCCATTCCCAAACCAGCCTATTGTAACTAATTTTTGAAAAACTGAGTAATTAGCTTAAGAATGTGGCAGTAATTGTCTACTTTAGTACAGAAAATTCATAATACTTTTACTCATAACTTTGGCAATAGTAAGACGATTCCAGTAAATGACCCATCAGTTTGGTCATTGATACTAGTTTTGGGATGGCAAGCATCATATACAGGGTTGGCGCCAGGATTTACCCGACGGGGGGCCCTCCAATGTCCCCGACGGGAGGGCCGATGCTCCCGACGAGGGGTCAGATTTCCCCGACGAAAACAAAGTGGCCATGGTCGAGCTTCGATTAAAAGGCTTCGAAAGTGGTCCAGGGGAAAATTTTGACAATTGAGGGGTATCAAAGGCTTATTTAATCGATTTTAGAGTCTACTAAATATGTAGAAAATACATATAATTTTTTTTCATCCTTGACGAATTGTGCTTTTTCCCCCCCCCACCCCGCTGGCACCACCCCTGATCATATGTGGCAAAGACAATTTTTAAAAATCTATTTTATTGCACTAAACTAACCTTTATATATCTACCCATCATTCTATACTGTTATTTTCCCCATTTTCAATGTTAAAACAATACTTTTTAAGGATTTAAAGATAGTTTCTGCATGAGAAATGCCTGAAATCATAAACTTTGACGGCTAATTTCTCATATATTTTTCTTTAAACAGCTGTGTGGTTAAATGCTTGTAACTTCTTAAGGAAATGTCTGATTTGAATGATTTTTTACCATTTTATAGCTATTATTTTACTCTCTAACACTGTATTGATAACTCAAAATCGATTTTTGCGACGAGTGACTGGTTTGGCCTGTCTTTGCCACATATAGTAATATAGAAAGTTACTGTGCGAGCTAGATATGTGCTAATGTAGTCCATGCTCTGATATTTATGAAATACCGCTATATAAATGGCGTTATGTAAATGATGTAGATAATAATGTAGTGGTGATGATAAAGAAGGGCTTTTAATGTTGTTATTAATGTTGTTCTTATTGATAATTTGTTTGATGATGTTTTGACATCCTGCCACATTCAGCTTTAATTTTGTATTAGTGTTTGTTGTGCAAGCTATAAGTTGTAAAGTTCCTAATTAACTTACCTCATTTGTTCATGAATACATCTGGTGTTTCCCCACAGCAATATAATATGCAGTCTCCAGGTGTTGCGTGTCCATTAGCGTCCCCACCAACCATCACGCCATCACCATCAGGCGCTAAACTTGGTACTCCATCACCAGGTGAGAAATATTTCCACACAACCTCTATTTTGTAATGTCCTTCATGCTTATTTACATTTACAGAGAAGCAGCTATGAATGAAAGAATTTTAAAATGGAATAATGATTAAATAAGAATGTGAATGAATTTATATTTTTTTGTTATATTACTTTATATTTTATGATATAACTGTTCCTTTAATGTCAACAACTTGATCGTAATTTTCCTGCAATATTAATCATTATCTGCCAAGTGTTGTAAAAAGAGACAGCTAAGGTAACCAGTAACAATAAGCAAATACATTTCCAGAGATAAACATAAACAAAAAAATGAATGTGCTTTTTCTTTTGAGTTTGTTTTATCAGTTCAGCATTACAGTAGTTTGAGGATAGTTTTCTTCATTCTGTGAATTTGTGATCTTAATGTTTGCTGCAACAACACAGTGTAACTATATAAATCCCCTTCATTATTATGAGTGTTAATTGTTTTTATTAATAGCATTTGCTGCTGGATCACCGGGTAACATCCATCACGCCCCCTCACCTGGATTCGTTCCGGTGCCATCGCCCATGAGTGTTAACATGCATTCTCCGGCAGCTGTGTCTTTTATCAACCCAGGTAAGTATCGTGATGTAATTTTTTATTTGCACCATATTCACAGTCATTCAGCAACTGAAGTCTGTTTACCGTCTCTGTACATGACTCAAAGTGTGAAGTTGTTTTTGTTTATGAAAAATAACTCTGTGTGGATTGAACCTAGGAACTTGAGATGGCGAGTTGGGCAACTAAATCACTTGACCACTGTACAACCTTCTGAATTCTAATCACAATAACAAAATTTTGGTTTTGTACTTTGCATAGTGCTCAGGCTTTTACTGATTTTTATTTGATTAAGTAGGTGCAGGATTACTAATATCGACAATTTGTTTCAGTATCACAATAGATCACAAACATGTGGTAATCCCTTTTCAAACTCACAGGACAAAAATATACCATGATATTTGACAGCTTCACTGACATGTGACTAAATTCCTCTTGCTTCTGTTTTCTTCAATAGGTATGCATGAGAGCCATGGATCACCCTACACCAACATGAGCCTCTCAATGCCAAGCCCACGTAACTGGCCTGCCTCACCGTCGGTACCTGGTTTATCACCAAGCATCAGGCACCAGAGCCCTGGTAGTGCCAACATACACTCCCCCGGTACCACCGTACAACAACATGCCTCACAACCATCTATGATAGGTTAGTGAATAGTTTATATTCATTTTTATTATCCACCTGATCTTAGTACTCAGTCCCATTGTTCATAATTTCTTTTCTTTTTCCCCTTCCTCTCTTCTTGTTGCTTTCCTCTACGTACCTCTCACTCTTTTTCCACACTAAATTTTCTCTCTTCTTTTACCTACCCTGTATTTTTTCCTCTTTCATTTCATATCTCTTTTTTTTATGCTCATCTCAATAGTTCTATGACCTTCTGTGTCTTCCTTATCCCTTCTTTCTCTCCCACTTCTCTTTTCCCATCTAACTGCCCTCCCCTCTGTCACCTCACCATTGTATTTCCATCCTACTTCTCCCCCCCCCTTCACCATTTTTCATAAATGTTTAAACATTGATTGTTATTATTTTAACATGAATATTTGATTAAATTTTTATGAATGTTTTATTTTACAGTAGTTTGGAAATGAATACAAATTTTTAGTATTTTGTTGTAATTATAGTTTCAATATTTTTTAAATTTACACAAAATGTTTGTATATTTTAAAGGATCAGTCCAGAGTCAGCCCACTCGGAGTCTACCGCATCGGTCATGGGCCGGCTCCATACCAACTATTCTCTCGCATGATGCGTTGCACAAGTTGTGTACACCGACTCCGACAGGGACCATCAACACGGGGCTGGGAACCCCCTACCAATGCTGTCCACTCGAAAGATTCTTGTCCGCAATTTTCCTCAAGAAACAATTGCAGCGGGTACTGCTTGGCCCAAATAAATGTGATACTGTAAGTCAAATATTTCTAGATGTTAATAAATTAACAGTTTTTTTTTTTTAATTAATTATATTTTTTGTGCTGACTTGATCTAATAACACTATAGTCACAAATGTTATATTTTTTTTAGTAATTACACATTTGAAGCAAATATATTAAAAGAATTTAAATTTTTAAATACTTGCCTGGAGTGTATGTAAAGAATAAGCCCAGTTATGGGCAGATCACAGATATTGGTTGCATAACACTTAAAAGTGTGGACAGATATCTAAACCTCTTTGTCAGAACACAATAATTTTAGGATCTTCCTACTAAAAAGCTGTAAATCATTGAAAATAATGTTTGTGAAATTTATAAAAGTTAAAACTTACGGTTCAATTTGTTGTAACTGAGACCGACAATGTTATATGTACTGGTCCTCAAGTTGATGTTACACTAGTTCTTTGTGTACTTTTATAGTTACATGTAGTTCCCTCCAACGAGCCTGGTGTCATTCAGTTTCAATCAGACAGCTTACTCTTCCGAGTGTCACTCAATCCAGCAGCCAACCTCACCCTGCATCTTCAGGCAAAACCCGTCCCAGGTAAGCACGAGCACTGTGCCTTGCTAAGATTGAAGGCATTCATTTCCTTTGGCTTCTTTTCTACTATTAATATTAACCAAATAAAACCTCAAATATAAATTAACTAGACGATATGGACCCTAATCCCTAACTAGCAGTATGTCATGAATTGTGTTCTTCACTAATAGGCCCAAACTCTGTGCATTGGTTCCAAGTCCCAGGAATCGGTAAAGTCTCCTGTATTCCCTCGAGCAATCAAGAAATTTGTGGGACATGATCTATCTTCTGCAAATTCATGATATAGCATGTTTTTACTCCTGTGGTAGCAGTTGTCTTCTGAATGTCAGCGGGTATCACTGTGCGCAACATAATATAATTAGATGTATTAAGAAAGCTTACTATAAGCAAATCTCCCGAATGTGGCTTCTTCCAACTTGGGGACCCGTTTGTGTGTGTTTAGGTAAGCTGATGTCTGACATTTATTCACTGTTTTTACTTGTACCTTTCAGAGTGTTCTGAGCCTTGGACAGGAGAAGAATTACATGTTCTTAGTAAATTCTTTGAAGAGAAGGTGAGATTATCAAATAGAATTTCATTATTATCTGTTTAAATTATCTGGTAAAACCTGCAAGTAAGGAGACATCATCAAAATGATTCAAATTTCATTTACAGTAAAAAAAAAAATATCGTTTTACACATTATCAGCCAATTTACGTGTATATGTAAAGAATATAAGACTATAATATAGGATCAGTATATATTATGTGTCAGTTACTTATATATACAAAGAAATTTATATTCATTTTTATTGTTCAAGTGCAGTATATTAGTTGTTTGTAAAATAGTAATTTTGCATTTAAAGAGTGTCAGGTTTGGTCTGCATACCTGACATAAGATTACAATAATAAGATATGATGTAATTTGAATCAAAATGTTGATTTATTTGTATTTTATATTATATTTGATATTTTATTTTCACATGTCCACCATTTTCAATTAATTTATATTTCATCTTGTTATGTGCTTATTTATTTTAGGTTGCATGTCCCCCATACAAGCAGACAACACTAAGCGCCTTTATCAGGTTGATCAGTGCATCAACTCGCATACTTCATGATTTTATCCAGATAATGAGATTGGAATTAGTAAGTTTCTAATTTGCATATGATCCCCCCCAATCAAATGCTGTTATTAATTGTTAGAGATTTTAACCATCCAATCAGTTGATGTTAGAAAGTTTAACCTCCAGCTAAATTTTTTGCTAGGAGCTGCTAGAACTTCACAGCCAATCAAATGTTGTTTTGAATTGTTGGAATGTCAATCATCTAATCAAAGGCTGTTAGAAAATTTAACCCTCAATTTGGTTTTGAATTGGTTCAGAAATTTAAAATCTGATTAAATTTTATGAATTTTTAAATATCGCAGCTATCCATTCAAATGATTTTTTTTTTATTGTTAGGAATCAACCCTCCAATGAAATGTGATGATTTTTTTTAATATCCACTATAATTAAATTTTGCTATGAATTCTTAGTATACCAACTCTCTAAATTAATTGAATTGATTTAGTATCTCGGATATCTGCTGTCCACTCCTGTCTAATCAATTGTTCGGTCTCGACTTAGAGAGTTAGCTTTTATGTTAAAAGATTGAAGATTGTTATTTGGTTGTTTGGAATAGTGGTCTTGAATTAAAGTAGTGTCGGAATTAGAGGGGTCTTGAATTGGAAGGTACACTGTATTATAGATGCATTTTATTGTTCATTGTGACTTAATATTTTTTTTTTCTGTATTTGAAGGTTCCTGACCGAACTCTGAAGTGGACCCTACAGTGGTGCTTAACGATATCTCCAAATATCATAGCAGTAGCTGGAGTTGGTAGCATTGCTGTTGTCGTCCGTAACAAGATTCTATTTTTCGTATGTTAATCTCCTTTAATGTATAATTAATAGTTTATGATTATTTATACAGTTATGCTGGCAGTATAAACATCAGGAAACCCTAACACTTCGGTTAAAACCCATTAAATACTCATTAAAATAAAATTCCAATCAGTAAGGCACAGTAGATACAATTCAGCTTTTACTCATTTATATTTTTTAGTGCAAAATTTATTAACAGCCAATTTAATATGTATGCGAACAATATAGGAAAGGTATTTGCGTTGATCGTTATTGTCTGTTGAAATGGCACCAATGATTGATTAAATTTTAAATTTGACAGCTACCAGATTCAGAAAATTTACTTTTTAATATATGTGGCAAAGACAAGCCAAACCAGTCACTCGTCGCAAATCGTGTTTCAAAGAAAATGGCCAAAACATGCTGGAATGTCAAATTTTTAAAAATCTATTTTATTGCACTAAACTAACTTTTATATATCTATACATCATTCTATGCTGTTGTTTTCCCCATTTTCAATGTTATAACAATACTTTTTAAGGATTTGAAGATAGTTTCTGCATGCATAAACTTTGAAGGCTGATTTCTCATATATTGTTCTTTAAACAGCTGTATGTTTAAACGCTTGTAACTTCATAAGGAAATGTCCGATTTGAATGATTTTTTTTACCATTTTATAGCTATTAATTTACTCTCTAACACTGTATTAATAACTCAAAATTGATTTTTGCGACAAGTGACTGGTTTGGCTTGTCTTTGCCACATATTCATATTCCCCACATTATAAGTTTTAAAATGATAGGTCATTTACTAGAATCGACTTATTGCCAAAGTTATGAGTAAAAGTATCATTGGCTTCTGTGTATTAAAGTATATAGTACTGTCACATTCTTACGCTAATTACTCAGTTTAACATTTAGCGACAGCACGCTGGTTTTGGTTTGGCAAGCCTCATATTAATCACTATGCTCTGTTTACCTTATTCACAGATCCAATTGACTCGTAATGTTAACAACTTGGTCCCAGGACAGGAGCTGCAGACGATTATCGTACCCATCATTCACGACCCAAACACAAACTCAACGCTGCAGTTGGATCAGTCCCTACAGAATGCTAGCGCAAATTCAGCATCTCCTCAGGTTTCTGCGATGTTGAAACGCTTTAATGAATACAATATCAACAGCAGTAAGTAAATTAATAGTTCTTAGATCATTTGTTTTCAGAAATATATTAAAATTGGAAAATTATCTGTTTTGTTGAACCAATTAGTTACTTACCTTCGCAATGGTTTCAGAAACTGCTGCAGTCACTTTCTTCAGGATAATAAACCCTTGGATGAATTGGGTTATTCATGCGAGTTTTGTCCCGATGATGACCTATTATTCCAAGGTTATAAATAACATAAGGTTACATTCTACAAATATTTACTGGGTTAAGGGGCATGATCGAGGGACATAGTACAGACTCCAGATCAACAAGGGTGATAATTTGAACTATGACCCGATTAAAATCCCAGTAAATATTTGTTTTATATACCACTACATAGATTCCCTGTTCTTCTGTTGTGAAAGGCATAGGCCTAGAACTTCGCTAGCAGTTCATCGAGGCCTGCATTAGATAACTGGTTTACACTCAATAAATCACAGCTTGTGGCTTCAAGGTACTCTTTAAATATTCGGACAGCATACTTAACTTGTTTTTTTCTATTATCATTAGCTGCTGCAACTAACACTTCTAAATCATGTTCATCCACCAGTTAAATAAAAAGATATTTTTCGTACTATTCTTTATGAAACCAGATGAATGTGATTATAATCGTTTATTACATTCCTAATTGAACAGCAAATGTGATTAAACCAAACTGGCACATAGTATGAGATTTTTGTTGCTCAGACTTAACAATGTTTGATTACGTATTGTATAATGTAGCAGAGCACTGTCAGACTTGTAAAGCCGCGTACTCACTGCGCCAGACGATCGTTGGCCAACGCAATTCTATGAACAACACAACATGCTAGCAATGGATTGTTTTTAATGCGATCAATTCACAATGCCGCAGACGATCAGCAGACCCCGTCATATCATCTAGCACTCAAAGGGTGCAGAGTGGGATTTGTCGTATTACAGTTTTATCAGGCAGTAAGTGCCTGGCTTAGCAACCCATTCTTTAACTTTGCTAAATCTACTTCACCTATCTCATACAACTTAAGATATGGGGATATTTGAGCTTAAGTTGACCACGTATTTGACCAGATATCTGCCAATGTTCACCAATACACTGTACAAAAAACAAAATTAATAAAACTTCTCCCGCCTACCGCCCCATTCTAACCAGTTTTGTAATTTTCAATTTTGTACAGGTGAATGCAGCATCTTTCCAGCAATACGAGATTTAATGATGAATCTAACATTGCCAAGTGTGAAAATTTAAGACCGCAACAAATACCATCTTTACAGTAATGTGGATATACAGTAGGAGACAAACATTGAGAATGACTTGGAGATCCCAATTGTTATTGCATACTATGTGAACATAGTATCATAGATGGAATGTGCACACTATAAGCAGCGTATGCTTGGAGGACTGTCAAGATAAGAGAAGGAGATTTAACCTGGAACCTCAGCTCCTGTGACAGCACCAGTGAGATACAGTGACAAAAAGCCCAATTGTTTACGTCTGGACCCCCGTCAGTAAATAAGCAAATTATCTTGTCGGAGAACTCTGCTTTAGAAAAGTATTACTATGGTCCGAGACTGCGATTTTTCTGGACATCTAGATGTGCCTATTCTTAAATTTTGCTCTAACCATAGTGGGGCTGAGATGGATTTTGACCCCAGTTGTTGGGGATCATGGATCTCTTGTCAGGGACTTTGTAGCCCTTATTGAGGACCTTGAACCCCTTGTTGAGAAATTTCTGGCAGTGCTCTACTGCTCAGCACTTTGAGACCTCAAAATGGGAAAACAAAGGTACCTACAACCTTACTAATAAGTTATCATATTTGAATTTGTTCTTTTGGAGGATGTACCAAGGACCCTAGGTG